GGGGAGAATCCCGGGGCCGTGAGGGTGGGGGCGCTCCCAGGGCCCCCGCCCGCAGGGCGAGCCTATGGCCACGAGGGGGGACATCCCCATTTCCCCCCGGCGATGGTTCCGTCCCCGCGGTCCCGCCTCCCGGCCAATGGGCGCCGGCAAGGCCGCGTGACGGACGGGCGGACGGGCCGATGAGCGCGCGGGGAGGTGCCGCGGCCCGGGTGAGTGTCCGGGAGGGTCCATGTGGGGGGCGCTGCGGGGGGGGGTGCTGCGGGCGGCCGGGGCCCTGCGCGCCACCACTTTCCGCTCCATGGCGGTCGAGGGGCCAACCCGGGGCTCCGCCAGCACCGCCGGCATCATCGTCATCGGCGACGAGATCCTCAAGGTGCGGCTTGGGGCAGGCCCGGGGAGTGGGGGGAGCAGGCCCGGGGGTGGGGGCAGCGGGCCGGGATCTGTGCACGGGGCTGGGGGGCCGTCACGGGTGTCTCCGTCCCCCCTCAGGGCCACACTCAGGACACCAACTCCTTCTTCATGTGCCGGCGGCTGCGCGCCCTGGGCGTGAAGGTGGCCCGGATCTCGGTGGTGCCCGACGAGGTGGAGGCCATCGCTAGCGAGGTGGCCGCCTTCGCTGCCCGCTTCACCTTCGTGCTCACCTCGGGCGGCATCGGCCCCACGCACGACGACGTGACCTTCGAGGCCGTGGCCAAGGCCTTCGAGGAGAATGTCGTCCCCCACCCCGAGCTGGTGGCCCTGGTGCACAAGTTCTTCGGCAGGACAGAGGCGCAGTGCCCTGAGATGAAGCTGGCCCGGGTCCCTGAGTCCGCACGCCTCAACTACGGCACGGATGGCCGCGGCAGCGCCTTCGACTACCCGCTGGTCAGCGTGCGCAACGTGTACATCTTCCCGGGCATCCCGGCACTGATGGAACGTGCCCTGGACAGCCTTACTCACCTGTTCCGCAGTGAGCGGACCCGATTCCACTCCCGTGCCGTCTATGTGGCGGCCGACGAGCTCCTCATTGTACCCGTGCTGGACCAGGCCCATGCTGCTTTCCAGGGCCGTGTCAGCCTGGGTTCCTACCCGGACTGGGCCAGCAACTACTACCGCGTGAAGCTGACGCTGGACTCTGAGTCGGAGCAGGACCTGGAGGAGGCGTATGGCTTCTTGATGAGGCAGTTGCCACCGGATGTTGTTGTGCCACTGGTTACAGACTGCGTTTCTCGGGCATCTGCAGAAGTTTATAGCCTGGCAGAGTCAGGTACCTGTGCCTCTGCACTTCTGTGCAGCCCAGGAGGGCTGGGGGCAGTGGGAATGCTGGCCTGGGAGTGGAGCTTGCCTGTCGTGGTGTGCTGGGGGGGCTCATTGGGGCGTGCTAAGGCTTTACTGGTTCTGCATTGTCCCACACAGGCGGGAGTGGGACCTGTAAGCCCAGTTAGGGCCAGCAGTGGCAGAGTCTGAGAGCACAGTGTGCAGTAACAGCAGCAGTGCTGCGGTTCCCCAGTGCCCTTATGATCCCTGTCCCATTGTGGCACAGACCTCTGGTTGCACAAGCTCCCTGCTGCGGTGCCAGCAGTGGCTCCACTGTGTGTCAGGAAACAAGACATCCAGATGGTGAGGTGCCACAGGCTCTGGGGCTGTGCTGAGGCAGCGTGACCTGGGCAGGCACCAACTGTCCCATCCCAGCAGGCTCGGCCCTTGGGCAGAAGGTGGCAGCAGCCCTACAAACCATTGAGGAGGCTTTGGACCAGTACAGCCTGGCCCAGCTCTGCGTGGGCTTCAACGGGGGCAAGGACTGCACGGCCCTGCTGCACCTTGTCCACGCTGCTGTCCAGAGGTACTTGCCCACGGGGCTCCAGCCTGGGGCAGGGCTGGGGGGTCCCACACACCCCAGCCAGGGCTCTGGGGCTCTCACTTGCCCCACTCTGGGGGAATGAGTGGATACTTGGGGCCTGTCTGATGGGGACTAGACACTGCCCTACCTGTGGTTGCTGTGGGCCAGGGCCCAGCTGTGCTGGGTCTCTCCGCAGGCGGTTCCTGGTGAGGCAGGAGAGGCTGCAAGTGCTCTACATCCGCATCGTGTCCCCCTTCCCTGAAATGGAGCAGTTCATCCAGGCCACTGTCCAGAGGTAGGAGGCAGAGCAGGGTGGGCTGCCGGGCAGGGGGTGTGCAGCATTGCCTGTAGACAGTTGCCCGCCCTGCCTGCGCAGGTACGATGTCCAGCTCTGCACCGTGGAGGGCTCCATCCGGGAGGCCCTGGCCCACCTAAAGGAGCAGCAGCCACAGCTGGAGGCCGTCCTGATGGGAACGCGGCGGACAGACCCCTATTCATGCACCCTGACCCCCATGTGCATGACAGACCCTGACTGGCCCCAGTACATGCGGGTGAACCCCTTGCTGGTACGTGGTCTCCACCTGCTTTGGGGCTGGGACTGTCTGCATGGGGCCTGGGAGAGGTAAAATGATGGGGTTGGGAGCTGGCACTGATCCAACTCTATCCTGGAGGGCTTCTCTCATGATTCCTGCTTTCCCCAGCGCACCTGCTGCCCCATGGCGTGGCTCTGGGTGCCTCTTGCTGCAGCCAGGCTGCCTGGTGCTGTCGGGCAGGCCTTATTCCTGCCTGCCAGGGTGTTTCCCTGTGTATGAGGAGGCACTGGGACGGAAAGAGGTGCTCTGAGGACCATCTGGCTCTAGCAGGGTCCAGCTTGCTTCCCTGGAGGCCTCTGCCTCAATCCGTGTTCAATTCTGCCTGCAGGACTGGACCTACCGGGACATCTGGGAGTTCCTGCGCAAGCTCTTTGTTCCCTACTGCATCCTCTATGACAAGGGGTAAGTGCCCAGTGCTGCCTTCTTTGTGGGCACAGCTAATGCCCCCAGGCACAGCCCTACAGCCACCTCCTCCCTCCACAGCTACACCTCCCTGGGGAGCATGGCCAACACGCGCAAGAACCCAGCACTGCGCTGCACCGATGCCTGGGGCCGGGAGAGCTACCGGCCTGCCTACGAGCTGGAGAACGAGGAAGAGGAGCGCACCTCCCGGCTGTGAAGGCCATGCTCTGGGAGGCTCCTCTGGAAAGCTGCCGGGAATGACACTGAATAAACCTGCTGCCTGTCAGCACTGAATAAACCTGCTGTGGTCTGCGCTGTGCTGGCACGTGGCCTCGTTGGGTCCCAAGGGCCCCATTGGGGCAGTGGCAGGAGTGGGAGGAACAAAAGGATCCCCAGGCTGTGCCCCCCTTACTGTACCCACTGTTGTGGAGGTTTTGGAAGCATGGAGAATGTAGCAGGTTCCAGGGCTTGCCAGGGCCCTGCGTATCTGCACTGCTGTCTCTCCCGCTCACATCAGATCCAGCTGATCCCTCATCAGCCATGCAGCTCCTCTGGACTACGGCAGCCCATCCACTGGGCGCTCCGCGGGCACGGCCACGGGCGCTGGCAGTGCCAGCGCCCGCCACCACCTCCCTGGGGCTGCGCCTGGGCTCCTGGCTGCTGCGGCTGCTGCGGGAGTGCGTCTACCTCCTTCTCTGCAGCTGGTGCATCCGTGAGCTGCTGGACTAGGGAATGCCCCCTCGCCCCCACTTCAGTACTGCAGGACCTCCAGCACTCCCTGCCTGCCCTGCCTCTGTGGGTGAGTGACCTGCCTGCAGCTGCCCACTTGATGTGGTCTTTGGGGTGTGACAGTGGCCTAGTTGTGGTGCCTGGTGGGTGATGGAGCCCAGCCATGGTGCTCTTGGGGGCGAAAAGGTCCTGGTCATGGTGCTTGGGGGGTGACAGGGGGCCTGGCTGTGGTGCTTCTGGGGACTGGGGGGGGGTGCAGCCTTGATGCTGATCAGTGGGTCCTCACCTGCTGTGCCTCTCTGCCCTCCCCAGGACTGTGCTTGTCGCCACGTGCTGATGGAGCTGACGGACCCCCGGTGCTGGGACGCCGCGCTCCCCACAGTCATAAACCCCCAGTAAACCTGAGCAGCACCTGACTGGCTGCATCTGTTTGAAGAGAGCTCTGGGAGAGAGCGTGTGTGTGTGTGTGTGTGTGTGCGCGCGCGCGCGCGTGCATGTGCGTCCTCAAACCTTCCAACCCTCGCCCTGCGTAGCACTAAGGCACTCCAGCCCACCTCTCACCCCTGCCCAGGGCTGAGGGTCCCCACGTCCCCTGGGGCCAAGGGGCAGGAGTGGGAAGCTGAGGCTCTCCAGTATCTCCTGCTTCCCCTCCCCGTCCTCTCCAGCCATTTCATGTCCCAGTCCTGTGCTGCCAAGAGTCTGCAGGAAGCAGCAGGAGCAAAAAGCGTCTCCAATGGGCCCAGCCTGGCTGGGAGCTGCATCAAAGGTCATGGCTGGTGGCGCTGGGGGGTGGCTGTGGGTCCCTGAGCCCATTCTGCCCAATGCTCCTTGTGCTGGTGCCTGCACAGGGAAGGCTCTGCACACCCCGTCCTCGTCCTCATCCTCAGCGGCAGCACTGGCGCCAGTGTGGCCTCTCTTATCTCAGCAGGAAGTCAGGAGCAGGAAGCCTGGCCCAGCACAGGATAAGGGTCCCGTTTACATTAGCTCTTTTGTTGTGGAGCAGGCTCCCACCCTCACCCAGCGCCCTCAGTGGGGGGCCCTGGTCGGGCCGAGGGCTATGGGAAGACAGGGACCCCTGCCCAAGGTGCCATAAGGGGCTTAGGTGGTCCTTACAACCCCTGTGTGGACATGAGTGGGAACAGGGTCTGTGAGGATGGTGCCCTGCTGCTGTGCCACATGACTTCCCCCTGCCCAGATCAGCTCCTCCAGCCGGCCCCTGCCCCCGTGGGTGTGAACTGGTGTCTGGGCTCCCAGCTGTGCCCAGCTGCCTTGGTAGCTCAGTGCTGGGCATCCCTGACCACTGGAGCCCACACGTCTGGTGCCTGCCCTGTCCTGGTGTGGTGGCCCTGGCCGTGGTTCAGCCTCGGGGCTGGCCGAGAGGGGGCGAATCAATGAATTCCCCAAACAGGGAGGTCCGGGGGAGGGGAGAGCATCCCGGCACAGGAAAAAGTGCAGGCAGTGACGCACGGCTGGCAGAGCAGTGCCGGCCGCCCTGAGAGCACAGCCCTATGCGCCGCCTCGGAGCCTCGTGCCCTCCTGCGTCACCCACCGTGAGTGAGACCCCTTTCCCCAGGGACCCCTTACCCAGCCCCACGGTGGGGCCACAGAGGAGTGGGCGGGTGCTGTGGGCAGGGGCACGTGGACCGTCAGCACAGGCAGGTTCCCCAGCAGTGGGGGGTTGTTTTTGGAGTCATGTCTGATATGATCTCCGGGATGCCAGTACCCCTCGAAGTGGAGCCGTGCCCTCGCGGTGGGGACGGCAGCAATGTGGGGCACAGGCAGCGGCAAATCCAGGCAAAGCAGCCTCGTGGGAGGACACAGGAGGATGCAGCAGGTCCCCACCAGGACCCCCTGCAGCCACAGCGCTCTCACGGGAGGTGATGGAGGTGATGCCTGTCCCTGTCCTGCAGGTGGTCCCCACTGCCGCCCCATGTTCCGCTCCCGCCGCGCGGGGCTGGTGCGGCGGCTGTGGCGGCAGCACTGTGCAACAGCGGACCCCGAGGATGGCCCCAGCGCCCTCAAACCAGCAGCTCATGCCCTCTTCAAGAAGCTGAAGGATGAGGAGCTGGAGCTGCTGGTGCTGGCAGTGGAGAGCCGGGGCGCTTGGGAGTCCAGCTGTGTTTGGGCACCACGGGGGGATGTGCGAGGGGCCAAGCAGGGGCTCCCCCCTCAAGTCCTGCTCTGCCGCCTCTTCCGCTGGCCCGACGTTCACCAGCCCCATGAGCTCAAGCACCTCTGCTACTGTGCTGGGCACCGGGGGGTCTGCGGGGACTTGGCTGCACTCTGCTGCAACCCCCACCACTTCAGCCGCCTGGCTGTACCTGGTGAGTGCTGGTGGCAACACCGGAGGCCCCCTTGCCCACCCAGGCTCTCAGCTCTGCTCCCTGGGGCCCTCTTTGGGCTCTAGGGGCCTCTTAGAGGGGCAGAATGCATGCCCAGCCCCTCACTGCTTTCTCTCCCTTCCACAGAGACCCCACCACCCCCCTACTCGAAGGCATCCTGTGGTCCCTCCTGGCCAGACGAGCCCCAGCACCCTGGCACTCAGCTCCTAGAGTTCAGCTGCAAAGGTGGGGACTGGCACGGTAAGAGAGTCCCACCACACTGTGTATGCCACACCCAGAGGACAGGAGGGCACTGGGCAAGGCTGAACCCCTGGGTCAGGAGCAGAGATTGGAGGGGACAGAACCTGAAAAGCAGGGAACAGAGCCAGCAGCCACTCCTAGCAGGAGGAAAAGGCTCCAGCATGGGATGAGGGGTTCCTGCTGGAGGAGCAGCCCGGGCTCGGCCCCCCCACTGCAGCTCCTGTTATTTTTGGCAGCGCCAGGCTCCTCGCCGGAGGAAGCACTGCCTATGGGGACACAACCAATGTGCCTTGACGCACATGGCCACAGCTCCTGCCTGGCCGCTGGCCACCAAGGCTTCCAAGCCGCCACCACACACACACTCTGCCCCTGCCCGCCCCACCCGTCACCAGGGTCCCTGGGGACCAGGAACAGCTCCAGTGACTCACACCCAGTGCCAGAGCCTGTGCTGAGGCATCCTCGGGGTGCCAGTACACCCTTCTGTCCACAGACCCCCCTGTGCCCACTCCCCTCAGCCCATCCAACTGCATGGCTCGGTCATGATGACGGCTCTGCTCTCCCCTGCCAGACACCAGCCTCTCACAGAGCACCATCAAGGATGGCTGCTGGTGCAAACTGGCTTACTGGGAGCACCGGACACGTGTGGGCCGCCTCTACGCCGTGCACGAGGCATCAGTGAATGTCTTCTGTGAGCTACCATGGGGCAGCGGGTTCTGCCTGGCCCAGCTGCCGGCTGCCCACCGCAGCCGTGCTGTCCGGCGGGCACGTGGCAAGATCGGCCGGGGGCTGCTGCTGAGCCGGGAGCCAGGCGGCATCTGGGCCTACAATCGCAGCAAGCACCCCATCTTCGTCAGCTCGCCCACCCTGAGCCCCCCCGGGGCCTGCAGGCTCACTGTCCTCAAGGTGCTGCCTGGCTACTCAGCAAAGGTGTTTGACTATGAGCAGGTGGGGGGCAAAGGGGGCTGGCGGCTCCCTGGGGAGGGGCCCTCCGACCCCCACAGCATCCGCATCAGCTTTGCCAAGGGCTGGGGACCCTGCTACTCCCGGCAGTTCATCACCTCGTGCCCGTGCTGGCTTGAGGTCCTGCTGAACCAGCTGCTCTGAGGGGCTGGAGCCTGGGGGGGGATGTCAGGGAGCTCGCTCAGAGCAGGTGCACAAGCTAGGGGGCCCCTCCACCACCCTCCAGCCTTTGTCTTCCAGGGCTGTGCTGCAGCAGGACTGTCCTGACTCTGAGGACCCTCTGCCCTAGCCCTGAGGGGCAGTGCCCCCTGTGCCTGGCTCACCACCCTGCCAGCACCTGCTGCCCCCAGCCATGGGGCTCTCAGTGACACAGGGGGCTATTTAATGTATTCTTTTAATTTTATTACTTTAATAGTTGAATATATATTAATTTATCTATTTTTGCAAAAAAACCCCAAGGTGTGAGGCAGGAGTCCCCGCTGACCAGGCCAGGCCTCAGGAGGTGGCAACCACGGCAGAATGGGCTGGGGGGAGCAGGAGAGAAGGGAAGTGGGACAGAGTGGGGGGCAGGAGGTGGGCTGTGGGCCTGCATGGGTGTCACAGCAAGCGAGGGGAAAGAAAGTGAACTGTCGCTGCTGGGGTGGGGTGGGGCCATGAGTACAGCTGGGTGTGGGGCAAGTTAGCAAAGCTGGAGTGTGGGGCAGGTGAGTACAGCTGGATGGGTGTGGAGCAGGTGAACACCGCTGGAGTGTGGGGCAGGTTAGAACAGCTGGATGAGTGGGGGGCAGGTGCTGGGGCAGGTGAGCACAGCTGGAGCGAAAGGGGGGGCAGGTCAGCACCCCTGGGGTAGGAGTCGGTGCAAAGTCGCCCAAGGTGGAGTTGCCAGGCCCCGGGCGGTCCTTCAGCCGTCGTGGCAGCGCAGGGACGCCCTGGGCAAGTGCAGCTGCGGGGGTCCCCGATTTCCCATGCCGCATCTGCTGTTTTAAACCCCAATAAACGGTGCCGCCGGCACCAAGAGACCCCTCATGTCCCCACGCGTGTCGGTGCCGCCCACGGGGCTCGGCTCCGGGGACCAGCAGTGCCCTCTGCAGGCGGCCGCCGTGGGCCGCGATGACCACCCGGTCCTTCCTGCCACGCCGCCGGCCCGGCTGAGACCGCGGCCCCCGCCCGGCCTCGGCCCCGGCCCCGGCCCCGCCGCGAGAGGTGAGTGCGGCCGCGCCGTCGGGGGGAGCGGCACCGGGGGCGTCGCCGCCGGCACCGGCAGAGCGAAGCGGCCACGGCGAGCGGCGGCCCGGGGGGCGGGCGGGGAGCGGTGAGGCGGGGGTGGTGGTTCTGCGGGTCGCCCCCGCCGCCCCCGCGGAAGCCCCGAATCCGGCGGGCCGGTGCCCGCGGCAGGGATGCAGGTGCACGGACGGACGGAGCTGGGGGGACCGAAACGGGCGGGCGGCCGGGCGAGGCGCGGCGGCAGGTGCCCGATACCGGGGCCCGGCGGGAGGGTGGGTGGGGGTCCTGCTCCCGCTGCCGCCACCCCCCCCGCCCGCTGACATAACGTCTGCGCGGGGCCGTGTTTGCCTTGGCAGCCCCGAGGCCGGCGGCGGCTCCTCACACTTTCCGCCAGCGCCGGGCAGCGGCCGCGCTCCGAGCCAGGCGCGGGGGGGCCGGGGTGAGCCGAGGTGAGTCCCGGGGCCGCCGCTGCCTCCCGGGGCCGGCAGCGGCCAAACAGGTTGCGCGGGGCCCGCGCCCAGGCACCTGCGGAGGGGCCGCCCCGGGGGGGGAGTTTGGGGGGGCCGCGCTCGCTCCAGCGCCGCCGGGAACGCTGGGCTGCCCCCCGCGCCGCCGGCTGCCCGGATCCCCCCGGCGCCACGTTCTCTGTGTCCAGCTCTCCATCCCCCCGTGCCCGGCACTCCAACCCTCCGAACGCTCGCTGCTCGGTGCCCGGTTCCCCAAGCCCGGCTCTCCACCCCTCTACCTCCCCGCCACGCTCAGTTTCCCAGTAGTCCAAACTCCCCCTCCGGTGCACGCTTCTCAGCTCTCAGCCCCCCACCCCATGCCCGGTTCCCCGCCCCCCCCGTGCCCACGGGGCGGAACGGGCCGGGCCGTGCCGTGCTGGCCCCGGGACTCGGGGCGGCCGCAGCGGGCGGAGCGCGCTCGGCGCCTGGCACCGCGCTCGGCGCCGGCGGGGCCGTCCCGGGCTGTTCCCCCTCACTCCAGGTCCGGGGCCGAGCCCCGTTCCCGGCTCTGACTCAGCTCCCCCCAGGTCCCGGGGGGCGCGCGCGGTCCCCGCCCTCACGGGGCGAGGC